ATTTTGTGCAGTTTAGACTGAGCAGTATATAGTGCCACAAAATGTTTATTTGATATGGCAAATATTCCTTGGCCTATGATCCATATACATACGAAGGACATCATGATAGTGTCCTAGAAAAGTTAGAACGAGAGAGAGTTATTTTTCGTCAATAAGATATCTTTTCTACACAAGAATTAAGAAACAATATTCCTTCAGTTCTTCAAACTTCAACTCAACACTGCTTAAGGTGGTGTTGCTTAACAGAAGGTGTCGCTAGAGAATTTAACCAGTGACTATTAAAAGCTGAAAGCATTGAATTAAGCTTTCCTATCACTTAAACCAGTATGCATATCCAAAGCAATATACTGATTCATAAATAACAGTAACAGAAAAATGGCCATACACATATTAAGCTAAGTATTTTTGAGTAGAGTCTGAGTAGAATCTAACTGATAAAGAAGTTAACACAAGAATTATTGACCAAAGGAAATTACTGTAGATGTTAATCCCATCGAAGTTGGTAGACCGAGAATGATGTTTTCATCAGTACTCATCATCAATTAAAATGCTTTTAAGAGACCAAGAAAATCATCATTCACTCGAATTCAGGTACATTCAGGTGAACAGTTTTAAATGGAAGAAAACGCACATTCAGGACTCACCTGTGAGCTCCCACCAAGCAGATAACATCAAGATTAAAATTTAGACAACACTGGAATATCTGTTCAAGGAGCTCATATGCCAAGAGAAACCGGTCATATAGGTCAAGTAAACTAGTCAAAGCGAAATTGTATGGTAACAACCTTCTCACAAAAATGACAATTTTATTTTGCGTGCTGCATAGTCTGTTGGTCAAATTATCGTTCACACAGTATACTTATAAATAAAATAAGTAGTTTGAAGAGCTCATAATGGTCCACATACTTTTGTAACGACATCAAAGTGAAATGACCACCTGAAGGTTATTTGCTCAGTGTAATGCTGATATCATATACGTGGATAAATTCTTCTCACACATAAGCCAGATTGTTCAAATCAGTTGGATTCAACTATCCTGCTTAGATGGACCATTGCATAATCAAAAAAAGGTCAACTTGAATTCTCTAAGAAGTTGCACATTTGCAGTGATAGCTGAGTAACTAATCAACCTTTAAATTGAGACAACAGCTATGTTCCTATTGGAAAACGCCATTTCCATATCACAGACTGTGACTGCTGATGCGTGTAAACGTGTTATGAACTGAAAACACACCCTACTTTACAACCTACTACTCAAAATACATACAAAACAATGACCCTCAGAATTTTAACTAATTATATCTATCTTGTTATGTATAGTGAAACATATTTCTGACTGGCAATCGAATGGTCACCACTGCCAACGCTCAAAGGTATGATTGCCAAGATGGATGAAAAATGATGATAGCAGTTAAAGTAACAATAAAACCTTGAAGTACTTAATAGCTCCTCCCTTTTAGCATAGGATTCCTTGGCAGTGCGCCTCTATGACCACGAGAGGAATAGAACCTATAGTCTTCCGGTTTCAGGGAAAGAGCGTCAACTACTCACTCAATGAATCGGAATTAGTGGCCCACAATTCGCGATATAGCGTGAACTTGATCCAATACCATTATTGAGTACCCGTCATCATGTATGATTTGATTTGCTCTACGGGTAATGAATTCTCGTTATAATTTCAGGAGATTTCACTCGACGTAAGCCACTAATGAGTATCAGACATTAGCCCGATTTGGAGGTACTCAACGACGACATTGGATGAAGGTCGCGCTACACCGAGAACTGATAAAAATAGGAAAATGTGAATTGATGGATTCTGATTCTGGCTCAATGGTAATGTGCTCACCACGAAACCTGAAGGTCGGAGATTCGATCCCAGCCGTGTCAAGGGTGCGCACATCTGAGAGACCTCAGACGAATCAGCTGTCCAGTGCTCCTAGGTTTCCAGTGTTTCTTCACTTCTTGATGAATACCACCTTAAAATCAACAAATCCTATAAACCTCCAAAGTGAATAATGTTAGTAAACTTCAAATGTTTTCCCTCAACTGTTATACACGATACTTTAAAAGATCTGAGCCTAGACGAGGATACTCTCGTATCTTGAGTTAAACTTCCTGTTGATTCACTCCAAATGAAATAGGTTTCCATCATCTTTATCAATTTACTCCTAGATTACTACTTTGACATCCAGCAATTTGCAAAACTGATGGCTCTCTATTCTAACAAAGAAGTCGTGTTGCATACGACCTATGTAAACATTTGAAGATATATGTCTGTGCCAAATTAAAGTAGAATATTTTATATAATTTGTCTGTTGAGTTATTTGGAATTTTGTTTATCATATGATTAAAAAGTCAGAAATTTTATTGAACACACATCATCATCAACATTGTCTTAAGTTCCATCTTGAAATAAGACATTTTACAATACGTATCAAGTATATTGAGTAGTGACATGAATTTAAAGATTGATGAAAGTTGTCTGCACAACAATTTATTTAACAAGATTTCATATGATTAATGAAGAAAGTCGAATAATTATATGACTTTTATTCTAGAGTTCATTAGAATAGTGAAAATAATTTTACAGTCTTCAACTATATGTAACTGGTCAATATGCTTTCACCTATTTGCGTTAAATACTGCATTTAAAGGTAGAGTTAGATGAAACTTAAAAGTAGTATATATTTAATCAAATCTCCACCTTATCTAAAATACACTGGATCATGAGATTGACAACTGAAGAGTTCAAGTAGAACAGATATCCAATTGGGAGCGACTTAAGGTTTCAGCATTTCATCTGGGAATGCATTTTTCCACAAAATAAGTAAACATACTCCATTATTGCATCACTTCTAAGGGTAGTTTTTGAAGTTATTCCTTCCATTTTACGAAAATCTGGTTGGAGACTTTGAATGATATGGGTTAGGAAGTATGTCAATGACAAAATTACATCCTTCATCTAAATATTTATATCAAATTTTATTGTCTACTTTCCTTCCTATATGAAATACATTACCGAATAGCACCAGATAGATAGGTTCATTCGTTTGACATATGACTCATCAATAGTGTACTCAGAATTCAGCAGAGAAAGACAAATTCTTTAAATCATCCAAATTCTGGATAGCTACTTTAGCATACTAGTGATACACAGAGTCGAGTCAGTGTTTGTAGATGGCTGTCTAAACTAAGACATGGTTCTGACTAGTGAAGTCAATGGATGCTTGTCTAGACCACACGTAAAGTCGCAAACACATTAGTTTGGAATAAAAGGAAATCGGAAACAGCTTTTCAAAAAATAGAACTACATTCTGTGAATTTCCTAAGATTAACGCAAACTTATGATAGATAGTGGCTAAAAGCAGAGTCCAGGACGCGGATTTTGCCGCTATTTGGGACCCACCAGGTGGAAAAACCTATGCAAGAATTAACTACATTGAATCAGTGACCTAGCTATCGGTTCTGTGGCCGAGTCATAGTGGAGAAAATATCACTCACTGGGAGATGGGTACACCCGACTGATGAGCCCCAAGCAGGATGAAATACGCATCCTGGATTCCACTGCTAGCCACTCTCCAAAATTAATATTTAAACACAAACTACAGGCAATATCTAGGCATCCGTACAGGAGCTTGTATGTTTATACTGACCAATCAATTCGGTTCAATCGACAACGGAAATTTACAAGCTATAACACCAAAATAGTAGTTTACGTTTCCCCAATTTTTGGATTTAGTACCGCCATCGAAGTAGCCTTTTTCCATAGTTTCTTCTGATCTCATTTTTTTGGCTGAATCGTAAGTAATGTAATATTTCTGGTTCAATGTGCTGATCGGAATCCACCAACAGTGTAGCCTCTACATAAAGAAACACGACATTGAGATACACTTTTTTGATGTTAACTGTTTGAAGTCATGGTACAGGTAGCCTTAGTGTGTTATTACTTGTTGGTAAAGTTTGTATGCTGCCTTGATGAAACATATATTTCTCAGGAGATCCGGATCTCCTAACATTCAACAGTGATGAATGAGACTCTATTACTGTACAGTTAAAGTAACTACCAACCCCATCCTTTCAGTATTTGTATTTCTCAATGAATATGAATTTGTTTTAACTAAAGTTTCACTATTGAATGCTAGCAGCTTTATCAAAGTTATGGTAAACCGGAATTTACAATATCCATCAAAGTTATATATATAATAACTTGATATATGTTTTTCTGGATGAATGATCCTGAGTTGTCAAACTGTTGAACACAAATGATAGTCATATGCTGTGTATTATGGGTTCAAAGAGTATGGACCGCAGTTTGAAATTTGTAGAAACACACGTGTTGATAGTTTTTATCTCATGAGTGTTGATTATGTCAGTATCGGCGTTGGGTTGAGACTAGGTCAACTTACGTTTTATTCTCTAATTTGTATTTAAACAACTTTGATTTTGCTTTATATGAAGAGATTCTGCAATAAGATATTCTGTATGATTTCCAAAACCTTACTGAATAATTCCGATATTGTCAAAATCGATTTTGTAACCTGAAATGATAGGGTATAGAGCTCTAGTTGAAGTGTTTTCAAGCCTTTTATCTCTATTGGGTATCTAGGGGGCCAAATGAAAGCTCTTCGGTGTTCATTTTTCCTGATTTTGATTTTGTATTTGTTAAGTACACCTCTAATTTTATCCAAGGTGTGTAATCAAGTCCCAGGTTGGTTTGGATATCTATAAACTGAACTACAACCTTTTCGTCAAGCTAAATGGTACAAAAACCGATTGTCATATAGTAAGCAACCTTAACTGAAGTTTCTTTTGGTGGTTAACTTCTGCTGTATTATTAAACAGTGGTTAAATCTAAATCTTATTACCCTTTTTCTAGGTCTTGCTTTAGCTTATTCAGTTATTTTATTTGCACACATGTTTACATAAGGTCATCTCCTCAATTATTTTGATAATTGTTCTCAAAACCCTTTTTTTCTCTTGGCTTGTATCTTTTTGTACAGATTTTCCATGGATTTGATATCTGATTACCTAGCGATTGATCCGGCTATGCTAATTGACCAAAGTCAAACAGACGATTCAGAACTACCGATTGTTGAGACTCAGCCATTACAAATATTGATAGAAACCACAGGCAGTTGGGATATCAACGCAAATTCACCAGAGACAAGCACAACATCACATGGCAGTTCAGCAAAACGATTCGGTTTTCGGCCTGAAGAAGATTTTGTCTGCAGAGTTGTTATTAAAACAGAATATTATGTTGTAAGTTCACTATTCAATTTGATCTATATAGCAATTTATTACGATACTATACTTCAAAAGAATCTTATTTTTATTATCATTACTTGTCCCTTGGGTTCCCACTGGAACTCACGGCCTCACTAGCACATCGTCATTTCACTCTCTAATCTCCACTATTTTCAACCTGCATCCAAGAGTGTCGAAAACCTCTCATTTTCCTCCTCACACAACCTCCTCCACGTCACCATCACCTCGAACGCCTAACTAGTCGTCTCCCCTCTGCATTCCACTCGACTGCCTGACCTGACCTGACCTGACCTGACCTGGCAACCGATGTCCCCAATCGGTATTCTCACTGTATGCCCCATCCAATACATCTACACTTACCTATTCTGCACATTTGTTGGGTGATGGGTTCTTGCTTCGTTGGTTCGTTGCCAGCCAGCCACAGTGACTTCCTTGTTGACTATTCTTTCTGGCCATCTCATCTGGTCTTCAGTATTGAGTGAGTGTAGGTGGAAGTTGTCACTGTATATCTGTAGTTTATTGCAAATGCTTTCCATAACGTGCCAAGTCTCTCAACCATCACATGGTAGCACTGAATTACTCAACTGATATTGGTGTTGAAAATCCGGATCTTGTTCACGTTTTATGCTGAGTGCAGTGCAGTGCAATGCAGTACAGTGCAGTGCAGTGAAGTAGAGTGCAGTAGATCTCCACACTCATAATTTCAGGTTAATGGAGGCCTGTCTTGTTGTCTTTCTGATCCCGGTTTCGATATCCTCACCTGTACCTTTGTTGCCTGTAGTTGAAACGATGTTGTGCATGTAGGCAGGTGAAAGAGAGGACTTCCTGTAGGTTTCTCCTGTTGATGGTGATTGAAGCTTGTTGTTCGTGGTGGTGCTAGGTGGGTATCTTCATCACCTCTATCTTCTCCAGGTTCACTTGAATCCCTGGGTTTGCTGCCTCGCCTCTTCTGTTAACTTGTCAGTTTTTGCTTGTAGATCTTTGTGTTTGTGTGACAAGATATCAGACATAAGTCGTCATCGGCGAAATCCGAATCTCTTAGGGTCTTTCATCGGTCCAGTGTATGGCTATCTTCTCACTCCTCACTGTTTGTTGCATGATCCATTCCAGTCGACCACAATCAGTAAGATCATGGATGATAGTAGGTGGCAGCCTTGTCTTACTCCTTCATGTCTTCACTTCAAAGGCACCAGTGAGCTGAGCTTTCCATTGTGGATCACTTGGCATGTAGCATCATATAGCATATAGATGTTGAATGAGGTTGATAAAGGTTTGTGGTATTCCGTAGTGTTGAAGCAATTGCCAAATTACTTCTTGGTTGACGCCGCCGAAGGCCTTTTCAAAGTGGATGAAGTTGAGGTAGAGAGTTGACTACCATTCCATGCTCTGTTCTATGATGATGCTTAGCGTAGAATTGCAATTTGGTCCGCACATGATTTGTGCTTCCTGAATCCAGACTGTTCCGGTCGTAGTTTTGAATCCAGCGCATCCTTTAGTCTTTCAAGGATGATGCGGCCTAATATTTTGCTTAAGGTGGATAGGTGTGGAGCATGATTCCGCACCAGTTCCTGCAAACACTGAGATCTCCCTTCTTCGAGAGTTTGACAAGGTAGCATTTCTTCCAATCAATGGGCAGGTACCTTTTCTTCCTTCCTTCCAAACCTTCTGTAGTAGAGGTGTGAGCATGTCCGCTGTTGTCTGTGCGTTTGTTTTTAGTGCTTCTGGAGGAATTCTATCTGGTCCTGCTACTTTCCCGCATTTCAGTAACTTTATGGCTTTCAGGACATCGCTTTTGCTTTTTTCGGAGGGTTTGTGTCCACTGATAATTGTGTTACTGGGCTGTTTGTTGTATTTCTGGATGATTTGCAGGCGGTAGTGGTTGATTCAAGAGCTTTCTGAAGTGGTCAACCCGTCGTTTCCTTTTGTTTCTCTTCTTTGGTAATTAGATTTCCTTCATCATCTTTTATCGGTTTCGTTTGTGGTGATCTCTCCCATCCCAGATAGTAACCTGGTTATTTGATACAATGTTGTCAGGTCTCTCCTACCCGTAGCCTGTTCTGCTTCACTTGCCAGTGTTTCGTAGAAGTGTCTTTTGTCTTTCCGTGCACTCTTCTTTACTTCTTTGTTCAGTGTTTTATACATTGTGCTCAGTTCCTCTTGTCGTTGAGCATCCATGCACTGCTTTATCTTCTGTTTCACCATCCTCCTCTCCTCTATCAGCTTCTAGGTATCCGTCGAGATCCATTCCTTGTCTTCTTTCTTCTTCCTTCCTAATACGGCTGTGCAGATTTCTTTCCACATCTCTTTCAAAGACTTCCAGTGTTCTTCCACGTCCGATCCTTCAGAGATGTTGCTCGATGTCTCCCATTTTGTTCTGACGACTGACTGACGTGAAGATTTCCTTTGTGGTTTCGTCCTTCAGTTTCTGTTCTCGGTGTTGGACTTGAACTGTGGTCTATTATCAGCCTCTCTGAAGGTGTTCAACTTGATTTTGAAGGGAGGTTCCTTTGCATTAGATAGTGAGTGGTGTGAAACTACATCTGCTCCTCTTCCTGATCTTGTGCCTATTAGGCTGCGTCTCCACCTTTCTTCTGATTGAGATGAAGTTGATCTGATTTTTAGTGTAGTGTGTCCATCTGGTGAAGTCCATGTTGCTTTGTGAATATTCTCGGATTTGTACACACTGCCTTCAATCACCAAATCTTTGAATGCACAGAAGTCTGCAAACAGTTCTCCATTCTCATTCGTTTCACCAAGTGCTTCTCGACCCATGACTGGTTCTCTTCCTGTGTTGTCTGCTCCCATTTTGGCATTCATGTCGCCCATTAAAATTTTAATGTCGCCATCTAGGGTCTTGTCCATTACTGATTGCAGTTGTATGTAGAACTCCTCCTTCTTCTCTTCATCTGCATTATTTGTGGGTGCATAGCGTAGCATTGTTTGATCGTGACTTTCCTTACATTTGAGTTGAATCTTGCTGTCATGATCCTGCAGAAGGAGACTGGTTCCCACTGCATGAGAGAGAGCCCTCGATGCTGTTGGGACATCATGATAACCACTCCAAAACTCAGTGTGCTCGTGGTTGTGGTCTTCGTTACAATATCGGAGCAGATTATTGACACTCCAGTTGACGGTTTGGAGAGTCCCTATTCCATTCCATCTGCTTTCGCAGATTCCTAGCACTTATATCCCATACCTTCTCATTTCTTTTGCAATCTCAGCAACCTTGCTAGGATCAGACATTCTATGTCCCCATGTTTACTTTCGCTTTCATCGATAGGAGCGAAGACACATAGACCAATTAGCTTCCTGAAGGCTTTCACTAACCGGCTTCATTTCGTCTCTCCGGTTCCAGCGAGAAGTAAGAATAATTTTGTGTTTTATATTTTCTTTATGCTTTGAAGTTTATTTAGCGGTTAGATTAGTTTTACGGGGTAGGGTTGGTATCCCTATGCCCAACCTTCCCTCTTTATGCAGGCTTAGGACCGGCTAATAACTAGTAAACTAGTTACCTACGCGAGGTTATAGTATCTTATGGTTAGATAAAACATAATTTACCGGTAAGAAATACATTGCCATTCCTTATTTCACTTTTGATGCATCGGTTAGATGTAACTTTCAAGAGATGGCGGACGTAAGTGTTCAACAATTCATAACCTGTGCACTTGTGGTTTATTGCTTTTAACATTAGAATTCCAAGTACCCTATGAGACGTTTTTATTCTACTTCATCTGCAAAGTTTCGGTCAGACACATGGTAGAAACAGCTTTCAGTGAACAGGTCCCACCGGAAATCTCACAAATGTACTGTATATGTGGCTGTGGAACTGATTTCATTTTCTTTCGCTTAACCGCATAATCAACCGGTTGAATGAAATCCATCCCAAAAATACAGTTCACTGGGTGTTATTTACCCCAATGCACTTTGAGGTAGCACAACTTTCAACCTGAAAAAAACAACTATTTAGTCTCTTTATTAACCTTAAGTAGTTAACCAGAACACTCTAGTGTTTCCTAATGCTAGTTTTACTGCTTACATGAATTTTTATCAGATTGTTGATATGGGTAAAATTATGATGTTTTATATGACAAGTACCTTAAATACAGTCATAAACTGTACACTTTTAAGACCTCAGAGTTCATATAACACACATCTTGACTAGAAAATAATGAATCTGAACTATTGGAGATATGATAACTACTAAAAAATGTATCACTTTTATTTTTCTTTTACTCAAACATGCCGGATAATGTTCAAATATTCTAGATATCTTATTTATCATTAAGATGGTCGTATGGAACGATAAAACGTAGTACAGACAGAAAAACAACATCGACAGATCAACGCACTCACTTTTGTAGCTATGTACCCCTGAGATGTAAACGTAACCTGCTTAAATGCTTGGTTCATGGTGTAAGTTATTTGCTCTAATGAAGCTATATTTAAGGAGCTTGACATTGAATGTCATCTACTTAGCAGGAATGGAAATCCTACCAGATTTGTGACGAAGCACATGATGGAAATGACAGTTACACCACAGATGATTACAGTCCTTAACAAAGCCATTTTCCTGAGACTTGAATTCAGAGGCGATATAATTAGCAAGATCATAAACCAACGTTTGAGAAGAACCTTTCAGGTATCGTTGAATGCTGCATATTTGTGTTTGATCTTCTACAGTCGGCCAATTATAGGTAAGGGGTATAAAGATAAACTTCCTGATTCTGCCTGCTCTATGTGCATTCATCAGTTCACATGCTCCTATGGAGCTAATTCTACAAGGTGTACAATTAGATAAGTTTATCGTAGAATATTTTAACAAATTTATGCTGAAATATCTAATCCCTTGTATTGTGAAATATTGTTAATCAAGATTGGGATAATCATTTCAATGAAAAGAAAGATTTCATATAATCATTCTCTATTAACTCAAATCCCCATGTCTTTCCTATGATTTCTTTGCTGCGCTCAAAGCGAAATGTCCGTTTAGTGCC